ACTTTGATGTAGATTGTCCATTTCACTATAGAACATGAAAAAGAAAACATGTTCCATTTTCTCGATATAGCGATAAAACGAAGAAAAGATGGTACAGTCCAACACTCAGTTTATAAGAAAGACACATTGAATGGTATTCATCTCAATTTCAACAGCTTTTGTCCAATCAATTATAAAAAGGCACTTGTCAAAACACTGTTTCACAGAACAGAAGGAATATGTACTTCCGATACAATAGAAGAGGAAATTATGAATGTTAAAAAGTGTCTAAGAATTAACAGATACCCATTGAGATTTATTGAGAAATATGGAAAACGTGAAGATAAAATACCTAAAGAAACTACAGCAAATAAAAAGCCTATTTTTATTAAACTTCAATTCAAAGGTGACGATGTCACAGGTTCAATCAATATGAGACTAAAAACTGCATTGACAAAAACATATCCTGCAGCTAAATTGATTGTCCTGTCCAAAACGACATGTTCTTTGACACAATCAAAGGTCGACAGGTATCTCTTTCATGTTACAACCAACTGTGTATACAAATTTACATGTATCTGCCAAAGCAGTTACATTGGTAGAACAGAAAGGAGAGCCTACGTCCGATTCAAAGAACACAAGACATCTCATTGACACAGGACACAAAGCCGATATACTGAAGTCCTTCAAGGTGATCAACAAACAATCAAATTCAAACCTTTTGAAATTCGCGGAAGCAATAGCAATCAAACGTTTAAAACCAGATCTTTGTATACAAAAAGAAACAGTAGTAAATCTTTCTTTGCCCTGGTAACATTAACCCCCCCTTTTTATTTATTACGTCATTCCAACTCTTTCTGAATTTTATAATTACATCATTCATAACTGATCAATTTCAATTCATATCTCTCTTTATTAACATTAATCTATTTTCAGTTACTTCATTACATAATCGTCTAATGTGTTTTAATTTCATGATTTCTAATCACTATCTCAATGTTCTGGAACCTTCCCTCCCAAACTCTATACATTCGAAACAAACATTTTTATGACTTCATTAACTCTATCTGAATCTTTGCTACATCATGTTACATACATTCATTCTTCATCGCCCTCTGTTGTATAAGTATGTCAATATCTATAATAACGTTGAATTTCAAATATTTTAGGTTGTAAGAAATAAAATGAATTCATGTATTATTCTGCACCAATCTTTGTTCTTGCTCTGTTTAAGATAATAAAGGGAACTATGTGTATAATAAATAATGATTAACTAATTATTCCTATGGTATTTTGTGTACATGGAGTTGCATGGATTGATTGTATTGTTATGTTGCATACTTGGTTTACGTTTCACCATAATAGTAACAGTACATAACACTTGATGTATTTTTAAAGATTCAGCATCGGTCCAGGTTGCCAGACCTCATTAGCACAGCAAGATGAACACTGGATTCATAGGAGTGGTTAGGTCAATGGTGGTAATACATAGCAGAAAGATTACATATAAGGATATAGTATCTGAAGAAAGAATTAGTTGACAAAAAGAAAGACATGAAATGATTTTAATCTCTTAGTTTAAGGGAAGACAGAGAGTTTATACACTACCTACACCTGAGCCATGTCATCCACAGTCTACAACCATTCTTTACGATAGTCACGCGGACCCCAACAAAGTAGTCTGCATCAAACAACATGGCTCACACTAGAGATTAGTGTCTTCAAGCACTGATGCCACTTTTTGGTTTGGCCGCCCCTAACTTTCTTCCGGTCATCTCCAACACCTGTTAGCATTGCACGTCGTGGTAATCGGTGTTTAGGCATACGCAACACGTGGCCCAAATAACTCAGTTGATGAAGATTCACAACCTCATAAACTTATTTTCCATGATCATTCCACAATACCCTGCGTCTGACCTCACTATTACTTACCCGGTGATCCCAGCAGACGCCAGCAATATTTCTAAGGCATCTGTGGTCAAATACAAGTAGCTTACGAATATCTTCTACTCTTAATGGCCATGTTTCGCTGCTGTAAAGTAAAACAGAACGGACTGCCGCGCAGTATACTCGTCATTTTATTGATAGACGGATATCTCGCCTTCGTCTTAGGTGACGTAATATGGCAAAAGCCAAACGAGCTTTTCGAATCCGTGCTGAGACTTCGTCCGAAACCAACCCATTACGGCTGATCAGACTTTCAAGATAAGTGGTGTTGTCGACTGACTGACTGAAAGATTCAGCAATTGTATTCATCATTTATCCAAGGGCATAAATGCTTCTGTTGTTTAACCACACCTATATTCATCCATATATGATGAGATGACAATTGAATTCTTATGATGTGATAATAGGCAAAATACTTATTGAAAGTCAAATGTATGATTGCTGTCATGATTGTCAAATAGGTGATTAATAAGTTAAACATGTTAGCGATTAGTTTTCTTGAATCTAAACATCATTTTGATGTATCCTCCCCATACGAAAAAACAAAGTCGTCCTACTTACCTATATAGGTTATAGGTATAATAAACTCAGCAAGTCTATACTTGCTTGCTTTACAGTAGTTATTGTCAAGTAAATCATGGATGACTAAATGTACTAGATTCTGTCCATAAACATTTCTGAAGTAAAAAATTGTTTACGGTAAAGTTTATAACTATCCCTATGAGAATAATGGATGGTAACTGTTGGGATCCCTTTATGGACCAATACTTACTTACTTACTTACGCCTGTTACTCCCAATGGAGCATAGGCCGCTGACCAGCATTCTACAACCCACTCTGTCCTGGGCCTTCTTTTCTAGTTCCATCCAATTCTTGTTCATTTTTCTCATGTCTATCTCCAGTTCTCGGCGTAATGTGTTCTTTGGTCTTCCTCTTTTCCTTTGACCTTCAGGATTCCATGTGAGGGCTTGTCTTGTGACGCAGTTGGGTGCTTTCCTCAATGTGTGTCCTATCCACTTCCAGCGCTTCTTCTTGATTTCTTCCTCCACTGGGACCTGGTTTGTTCTCTCCCACAGTACGTTGTTGCTAATAGTGTCCGGCCAATGGATTTGAAGTATTTTGCGTAGACAACTGTTAATAAACACCTGTATTTTCTGGATGATGGCTTTTGTAGTTCTCCAGGTTTCTGCCCCATACAGTAGAACTGTCTTGACATTTGTATTGAAAATCCTGACCATGGTGTTGGTTGACAGTTGCTTTGAGCTCCAGATGTTCTTCAGTTGTAAATATGCTGCTCTTGCTTTGCCGATCCGCGCCTTCACATCTGCATCAGATCCACCCTGTTCATCAATGATGCTGCCCAAATATGTAAAGGTTTTTACATCTTCCAAATCTTCTCCGTCAATTGTGATTGGATTGGTGCATGCTGTGTTGTATCGGAGAATCCTGCTTTTCCCTTTGTGTATGTTGAGACCTACTGCTGCTGAGGCTGCTGCCACACTGTTTGTCTTCTCCTGCATCTGTTGTTGCTTGTGGGATAGAAGGGCCAGATCGTCTGTGAAGTCTAGATCATCCAACTGCATCTTAGATGTCCATTGTATCCCGCGCTTTCCTTCAGACGTTGACGTCTTCATGATCCAGTCGATCACCAGGAGAAAGAGAAACGGCGAGAGTAAGCAACCTTGCCTAACACCGGTCTTCACTTCGAACGACTTTGTCAACTGTCCTCCATGCACGATTTTGCAGTGTAATCCATCATATGAGTTCTGTATGATATTGACTATCTTCTGAGGCACGCCGTAGTGTCGAAGAAGTTTCCATAGTGTTGTTCTGTCCACGCTGTCAAATGCCTTTTCGTAGTCAATGAAGTTGATGTAGAGTGATGAATTCCATTCAATTGATTGTTCCACAATGATCCGTAGAGTTGCGATTTGGTCTGTACACGATCTATCTTTACGGAATCCTGCCTGTTGGTCTCGAAGTTGGGCGTCTACGCAGTCCTTCATCCTGTTTAAAAATACCCTGTTGAAGACTTTTCCCGGTATTGAGAGAAGAGTGATGCCTCTGTAGTTATCACACTTGCTGAGATCGCCTTTCTTCGGTATTTTGATTAGAAGTCCTTCTTTCCAGTCTGTTGGTACTTGTTCCTCATCCCAAATCTTATTGAAGAGAATGTGGAGTATCCTTGCAGTTGCCGCTACGTCTGCTTTTAGTGCCTCTGCCGGGATGTTGTCCGGTCCTGCTGCTTTGCCACTCTTGATTTGCCTGATGGCCATGCTGATTTCTTCAATTGTTGGTGGGCCAACATTGATTGGGAGTTATGGAACAATACTATACGTATATGTTTATCGTATAATTGTTAAGTAACTAAACTATTCATATTCAAGTACCTCTCGTTATAAGCTTTATTTTCACACATGGACTATTATTATACGATTTATCATTGTTGAGTTATGTCCAGTCTATCAGTTACTATCTCCTACATTCAATGTCACTTTGGCTAGATAGTGTACAAATGTTTTTTCCTATTTTATAGTACAATGTGGTGTGTTTGGTTTGTATATAAACCCAGTATATTTGAAATAGATGATTCCTATCACCGAAGCTGAGATTGGTGTTCTGAACTTAACAAGCATGGCTAGGCAGGAAGCAGGACCGGTATAAAACTCTAGACTGCTCGTACTTGTTTTATGCGTCATTGATCCGGTCGATAACTCACTGTTCTCTAATTGGCGGTGTCATTACGTCACACATGAATACGACACCGGGCCCAAATAATAACAATAACAAATCAGTTTATCGTAGATTACACTTAGTTACAAGTTCATTTCAATTGATTTATAATAATAAACATGATTGTACAGAACAATGTTCACAGTAAAGGAGAAACATGTTGTCAATTATGATAGAAGGAAACATTACAAGTGAGAATGAAGTGGCAATGTCTGAATGAATAATGTGAACTGAAAGACAAGTCAATTGAATAATGTTTGATTGTTTTCATTACACACCATGTATCGGAGAGAATATATTCGTTGATAACTGTTGATGTTGAAAGCTCCATGTGTTACGTTTCAGAGTTTGCAAGTGTTGTTTTGCTGCTTGAAAACAAACCAAAGTAGTCATTTGTAAGTCACATTAATGTTAATATAAACTATACTTTGCTTACCTTTACTGGTTATGAGGAAAACATTGTTTCTTGATTCGTACTGTGATTATTCATCGACAAGTGCTGACGATTCACAATTGCATTGCTTCCATTCCCCGTTTTATACATTATTTCAACATTCATCCGTCTACTTGTCAAGTAAACTTTTCAATTAATCTTGATCTACTCCCTGGTTATGGCTTCACAGGCAACTAAAATAGTCTGTGCGCCACAACAATAAATTTCCTTGTAAACTGCTATGCTACATATCTGGAGAAGATGAAGTCAGTACAGGTAACACTAATAAGAAATGATTGGTAGTTAATAGATTCCATTCCACTTATCACATCTTCCACTGTAAACATTATTCATTCTAAATACACAGTGTTCATCGTTTTATAAAAGATTTAATTCTATTGTAGTGAACGAGATGAAAACTGGGGACAATCGAACGTACTGGGATACAAGTTTACAGAACATCTTAGTAAAATTGGAGAATCATACAGTAAATACTACATTTGTAAAATGTCAATCAATCATCACAAACTTGACTGTTCCATTTGCAAATGTCAATCAATCGTCTCAAATTTCACAGTTTCTGCATTTCCACAAAAATCGTTCTCTGTTCTTATTCTCTTCTATCTTCTTAACCTTCTGTTACCAGGCGCTTCATTTTCGATTGTTGATACATACTACTTATATCAGTCGACATCAGTAGCATACAGCACACTAATAGCGATTCATAGTTGAAGTTAATTTAAGATTAGTGATTATGTAGAGTTTCAATTCAATCAACTTATATCATCATGAGTTACAACCAATTCGTAGCGAGACTCTAATTTATGGACGAGCTAATCGGAAGCGTTTTAGAGATTTCAAGGTTATCGCTAGCTTCAGTGCTTAATGCTAACGTACAATCGGTTCATAGGTAATTTTGTACAAAACGTGATAATTAAGCGGTTATAACAAATAAAACTGCCAGACTATAATTTGTGGACGAATCAATCTGTTATAAGACAATGGATCTCAGATTTTAACGCGAAAGCCTTTCATCCATTTGGTTAAATAGATTTCTGGCATTGTAGCTGACGTTAGTTCGTGATAAAAACCCCATATATAATTCCTAACTAAGGCAAATTACGACAATTATTACGAACTGGATAATAAAAGCAACAGTAACACTGGCTACAGCCAGGCACTACAATATATACGGATGATTGGAGAGCGTACAGGCTCCTACATAGGCTTGGTTATGTGCATCGTGTCGTTATCCACAAGTAGCATTTTGTGTTCTCAACAACCGGAGTCTACACAAACAATATTGAAGCCATATGTTAGAAGCTGAAAGACTTTTTGCCACCTTATCATGGCTCCAGAGGTTGACTATTCTGTAGCCATATGGATGATTCCCTCTACTGAATGCGTTAGGATTTCAGAACCTCTGAACTTCTTTCGAACCTTGAGAGGTTTTTCAATCACGTATAGAAAGTGTATTCAATTTATTTCTTTAGTTTTGAATCAAATGCTGGTAATTCTTAACATCATCATAAAGCTGTTGATTAGCTGCCTACTAGATGACATTTGCATGATAATAGATATCTTCATGACAGTCACTAAGTGGTTAATCGAAAATCAATAGCTAGGCACGTATTTGACATTGATGTTGACCTCATTATTTTTGGTGGATAAGAGGAAGCATCTACTCAATTACTTGAACAACCTCACAAAATGTGTCACTTTATTCCTCTCATTAACCAGTGTACTTATGACCTTCTGAATCCCAGGGCAGAATTTAAAAGGTTTGAATATTTTTTCTGGTTAGCGTTTTTTAGCGAGATAGTTTTCTACAGGATAGGGTCGCTAACCCCATGCCCAACCCTCCTGGTTTATCTGGGCTTGGGACCGGCAGTAGCCCCGGAGGGACTCCAGGCGGAGTTCATTAACCGGTGTACAAATTATATATTCAACCACTTCTGTATACGATTGGATATAGTTCCATTCCTAGCAATTATTGACTTTTCATTCGAAACATGTTAAATTTGCTTGGTTTATCCGACTATTACTGTTAAACGGACTTTGTGTTGGTATCACGAGGCAATCATCACCAAGTGTGTATTTGTGTCTTTATATTTATAGTCAACAAAAAGAAATTAACCAGTCCACGAAATTGCGCGGCCAACTTCTATTGTACTGAGGTAGATACCTGTCTCTACCCGACACGGATTAGTTCCACTGATCACGGCTTCTCTCTAGAACTTCGAGAATTACCTCACTAAACTGGTCACTAGAGAGCGCATGTTAATTGTCAGTATAGGGGGTTGTGGAGATTATTAGGTTTTCTTGATTGTGATAATGACCAATGGAGCTAATCCGTGTAGGGTAGAGACAGGTATTTACCACAGTACAATGGAAGTTGGTCGCACAATTTCGTGAAATTGATTGATGTTAGACACTAACAAAACTGAATGCCGGCTTAGTGGTTTAGTTGGTTAAGCTCAAGACTGATAGATTCTGGGTTCGAATATCGTGGAGAGCGGGATGGTGGATGCGCACTGCTGAGGAGTCCCACACTAGAACGAAACGGCCGTCCAGTGCTTCCAGGTTCCCAACGGTGGTGTAACAGCAATTGATTCATGATCTCAATCAAGAAAACCTAATAATCTCCACAACCCCTATACTGACAAAAAGAAATTATTAATAACAAAACGATTAAAAGAGAACTCACAATGATACAAAACGGACAAATTTCTGAGTGTTCTTTATACTCCAACTAATTAAATGCGAGTAATAATTAAGTATAATTTTTTAAAAAATGTTTTACATCTGATTAACATTAAAACGACATCTTATGCATTGATTTAGACTGAAATAACAACACAATACATGGAGTAACTCTCCTGTTCACAACTAATATTGAAACGATCCCTAATGATAGGAACCAAAAATCAATGCGTTTACTGTATTTTTTTATATTGTGTTTATGAGTTGGAAGACAATGATGAATCTGTTGATGTTTATATTTTAGAAGTAGAATAGATGTACAGTACAACAGGATATCGATAACAAAACATCTAAATCTGGAAGAACACATGGTAACTAAACAATGAACGCATCTGAGACGAAGACGTGTTACAGCGGTGGGAAGAAAACAAAATCGTTTCCTTCAGTTAGCAGCTTAAAAATCTACATATAGTTTTTTATTATTGACTTTTAAGCTGAAGTTAATGAGATTTATTTCGGGTATCCCAAATGTTATTTATTTAAACACATACAAATTGGTACAAAGAAGCACAAAATACACACAAGTCACCTAAGTTTTTTGTGGACTATGATACTGCCCTAATGCCCAGACTGAAGTAGGTGGTTTTCTTAGGCGGATATACCCGAAACCTTCGACCTGAAGTTCTAATCCACAAGGTAGGGGAGCAACGTAAGGAGATGCAGTAACATGGTAGTCGGTGACCAATATTTGATTCATACGCCAATTGTTCCTTCAGGATACTGGAGCCTATGTGCACCATTGGTTTAGAGTCAGGGTTTTCCAACTGCTCTAGGTGAGTTCTCCATTCGATCAATCCAGTTAAAGCATCGGCCATTCACTTTTCTTTCTCTCAATTTCGTAAGTAACAGCGCAGTCGCGAGAAGGCTGTGAGTAGGACTTCCCTGGCAGAGGTTTTATACGCGTGATCATGTGATAGCATTTCGTGAGGTAGAGCTGACTCTCTTCAACCTCGACTGTGCCAGAGCATTTGGGGACGCATATCCCAAAAACAAGCAATTCACTGTTGCAATATTTATGAAATTTCCATCTACTTAATATTCATCGCTTCTGTAATGACTTCAGTCGTTAAACTTTGTATTGTACTGGATTGTTCAACTTTGAAAGTTTGTTTTTAGTAAATTCACATCATTTGAAATCAGTCAATTTGGTTCCATTGATGATGAATAGACTTTCAGATTACAGAATACTATGTTTGGTGTTGGAGAAGTGAATAACATGATACAATTAACTATAAAGAATATAATAATGAGATCACTTATTTCTTACTAAATATCCTCCATAATGTTGGCAATTATTTTTGGTGTTGTTTATTACATGAAGCTGTGAATAGACAAATAAATCTATGAAATCCAGATATCTAGAACAAGGTAGTAAGTATCAATAATCAAAAGTGAAATGTCTGGAGGCAGAAGGTTAAGAAGATCGAAGAGAAGAGAACGAGAATAGAGAGTGATAGGTGTGGAAACGAAAGAACAATGAAGCCTGAGATGATTGACTGCTATTTTATAAATGAATTACCTACTGTATGGTCCTGAGATGTCGATAAGATGTTCTGTAATTTTGTGTTTAAGTACATTCGATTATACCCAGTCATATTCTCCTTCACTACAGTACTAGAAGGCATTGGATGGAACATGGGATTCATCTGATATGATAAATTGATAGTAATACTGTACAGTATTCTTATTCACTTTATTGAAAGTGTTCACGATATGAGACAATACGTTATTTCCTGGAAAAATGTTTATTGAATAAAGTTTATGTTACTTGAACATGCATTTTGGCACAAACTGATATTCATTCAGATAATTCAGCAAAGGAACTTTTGTCTTCTCGTCAAAACCATTTACTTTAGCTGTACATTCGTATTTATAGTTATATGGTAAATATATGCGTCTATTAGAAGATTAGAAAAGGTTACATTGCTCCAGAGGAATCTTCTTTTAAAATAATCTGCACAGTCAAAGGCATTAGATCGAATGGAGGTAGAATCAAAATCGTATGCACTGCTGAAACATTGGCAATCCACCAATTCAAGCCCGAAACTTTGAGTGCAAAAACAATATGTTCAACGTCTTATCCTTCCTTGATCTTAATCCACTTTTGTAGTATGTTTTGGTTCTGTTTATTATTTATTATTATTATTATTATTATTATTATTATTATTATTATTGTTATTATTTACGCCTGTTTCTCCTAATGGAGCATAGGCTGCCGACTGGTATTCCTCAAACCACTCTATCATCAGCCTTCCTTTCTAGTTCTATCCAGTTGGTGTTCATTCTTCTCATGTCTCGAAGGACGGAAATTTGATAGAACTAGAAAGCATGGTTCAGGACAGAGTGGGTTGAAGAATGCTGGTCGTCGGCACATGCTCATTTGGGAGTTCAAACTTGTGTTACTATGAAGAAATACTTTATATTAATTCAGGAAACGTCATCAGAAATACAATTTTTCAGCTCATTAAGATACAACAATAAAATATATTTATTATTAAACATTATGTTTTACATTCATCATTATGTAATCAAAAAACACTAACAGCTAAACTTACAAATATAGATTCATTATCATGCTAATAGTGTCAGAAACGTACATTATGGTGTGAAAGATGTGGTGTGAGAAAGAACTTATTGGAGTGCCCTCTCATAAACAAATTCTAATTAATTAACACTTCATATTTATGATGATCCCAATATCAGTGAAATAATTTAACATGGATTGATTGAAGTTAGACATTGACACTGTCGGATGCCGGCTCACTTGTCTAGAGATTTAAGTGTTCGCGCGCGAGACTGATATGTTCTGGGTTTGAACTTCGCGAGACGGGATCGTGGATGCGCACTATTGAGGAGTTCTATACTAGGAGTGAGACGACCGTTCAGAGATTCCAGGTTTTTCATGGTGATTTAGCTTCAGTTGACTCATGATTTCAACCTATGTTCTTCAAGTTTTTCGTGTTTCTTCTTCATATCGGTCAATTAGACAATTGGATTAACGCGTTAATTATTTCCAGCCTTCTATTCTTCTCTTATCTCTTGATTATTACGTAACCTCATTTGATAATAAGAGTCTCGAATCCATTTTTGATGTAACCTTCTCTAACCTTCTAATAGACACATATATTTCCGATATACCTATAAATACGTATGTACACTAAATTAAATGGTTTTGACGAGAAGACAAAACTTCCTTTGTTCAATACCCTTTGTCTTTATCCAGTGACACAATGGGTTATTTGATTTATCTCAGATCAATTAGTAAACTCCTACAGATCAACCATACAAGGTAGTTATATTTAACCGTTAATTATCATCCATAAAAGATAAAAAGCGTTCATTATCATTTAGTAGTGAACACTATTCTTAGACAATATTGAGGCGTAACCTTCTTCCTGCTAATTTTACATAAAGCATTCTGTACTTGTGGAAATCAATCACATCAATTATTCGTGACAAACAGATTAACCTACACTTCTCTCTTTAAATCAACATCATATATAGGTACTTTCAATGGAGCATACGCCGCCGACTAGTATTCCTCAAACCACTCTATCATCAGCCTTCCTTTCTAGTTCTATCCAAATGGTGTTCATTCTTCTCATGTCTCTAAGGACAGAAATTTGATAGAACTACAAAGGAAAGTTCAAGACAGAGTGGGTTGAAGAATGCTGGTCGTCGGCTCATGCTCATTTGGGAGTTCAAACTTGTGTTACTATGAAGAGATGCCTTATATTAAGTCGCGAAACGTCGTCAGAAATACAATTTTTCTACTTATTAGGATACAACAATAAAATATATTTATTATTAAACATTATGTTTTACATTCATCATTATGTAATCAAAAAACACTAATAGCTAAACTTACATCTATAGTTTCATCTTGCTAATAGTGTCAGAAACGTAGATTATGATGTGAAAGACAGAATGTGAGAAAGAACTTATTGGAGTGCCCTCTCATAAACAAATTCTAATTAATTAACACTTCATATTTATGATGATCCCAATATCAGTGAAATAATTTAACATGGATTGATTGAAGTTAGACATTGAAACTGTCGGATGCCGGCTCACTTGTCTAGAGATTTAAGTGTTCGCGCGCGAGACTGATATGTTCTGGGTTTGAACTTCGCGAGACGGGATCGTGGATGCGCACTACTAAGGAGTTCTATACTAGGAGTGAGACGACCGTTCAGAGATTCCGGGTTTTTCATGGTGATTTAGCTTCAGTTGACTCATGAATTCAATTATTAAATTAGTACAATCTCCACAACCTCCTCTCTGAATAACATAATGACAGAGCAATCACTGCGTAATATGATTTTTCTAAATAAACATCCATTTTGTACGAAGAATGATGGTGGCTAGCAGTGAAAACCAGTTTGACGTGCGCCTCGTCCTATTTGAGACTCCTCAGTTGGACAAGCCTGCGTCCCAGAGCTGACGTTCACTTCAGGACTCAAACTCAGTAGCGTCCGCTCCAAATGTCATCGCGTTACCCAGTTGGCTACTGAGTCCTGATTGCCACATGTTTGTGAAATGGGGGGAAATTTAAGTTTACTTGGTATAATTTATTATATCGTCCCACTGTTATTTAGAACTGCAATTGATCAGTCGATTATTAGCGTATGTGCATCTTGAGCGTATTGCCTTGATATAGCCTTAATTCACAAGCATTAAAGTGTACGGGGGATTTCGCATTTGATGAAGTCAATCACTTTGGAATTCTTTAAAAATATAAAAACAAATAACTATGCAGTTTTCTGTCATAATGTTGCATTTAGCAAATATCCAAATAAGAACACTGAGAGTTGAACATACTTTTAAGACGAAATGCGCATGCTGAAAAAAGTAAGAATGATCAAACTTGATCTAATCGATTATCAGGGACGTAGATTAAAGTAAGAAGCGTAGAATATGAGAAAGAACTTGTCATGTGACCGAATCGCTAATCAGAACTCAGACTTATATAACCCTGATCCTGTGCCAAACCAATGACACATAAACCAACACGAGCAGATTAGACTCAATTCCGAAGCCTCGGTGATTCATCCTACTTTGTCCTGCTCGTTGTGTCAAGAACACAATCTTATCTTTTATCGTATGAATCCTGTATTTCAGGCATACACAGTTTATATACAGACAAATCAGACCGCATCATATCAAGTCAAAAGCGGTCTTAGTTATGTCCATAACTAACTAATCAAATCTCTGCTTAAACGCTCATCACGTCAATCTGGTCTGATGTGTCTATATATTATCCTAATTGAGTGTGACCTGTCAATTAAAGGACATTATTATTTTAGCGTGACTGCATCTCATGTTTTTTTCATTCATTCCAATAAGATAGGCAATACTAGTCGTTATATTTGCGCGTTTCACTTACAGACTATAATCCCTTTAATTATTATTGTACTAGTAGAATTGTTGTTTTTACGTTTAGAAACGGATCAATTTTAAAGCCAAGTTGTCCTTTTTCTGACTATAGCTTTCACATAGACCCTGGAGTTTTTCAGCATCGCGTTCACAGTTCCGTTAGAATATCTGTAGGACAAATTAAGTCCTATAAATGACTGTGAGTATGAGAGACTGTAATTGATAAATCGGTAGAAAGTTAGGAATGGTGAATCGTGCCGCAATCGTTAATAAGTCAAATGAAAGATACCTAATAATTATCCAATAAGAATATATGTTAATTATTCATTAGGATATAACACAATTCCTTGAATCCATTTGGTTGTACAGCGGAAATTTTATTGTAGCTGAGAAATGTTGCATCGTCCAATCGATTGTTGTAGACTATGTAGTCATCTAACACTGTGTTCCAGTTCATAACACGTTCGTTTGATAACTAAAACTATCAATGTCACAGATATTGTTTGCAAGTTGCTTCCCTTGAAAATAGAATCTATCTGGCTTTATAGGCATTACTGATTTTGATTCGGCCTAAAGAATATGGAGGTTTGATCTAGTCTCCTCAGATATTTTCTTACACAGAAGAATGTGAATTGATTACGTGGATCTTGATATCGACAATTAGAGATCAACGTTGTGTTATTTTAGTTAGTTGACTGAATGCCTTAAGAACAAATATGTGTAGATTTTAAAGGATTTTTATCTTCGATGCCTATCTGGAAAATTCACAGACATGATATGTTATATGAACAATCTATCGATATCTAAATCATAAGCACATGAAGTGTTGTTGTGTGAAGTAGTTTTACGCAGTATACAATAATCGACAATTTAAAGACTAATATGAATCAACTATAAGTAACATTACTGCAGATTACCAAAGAGAACGAATAACGTTCGGTGTCCACAATCTGTAATGAAGAATTCACGGTTTATAATTGAGGTTTCATCGTCACTAATCAGCAGATATAATCGTATTTGAATATGAAGTGAATTGCTCGAACTTGTAAATAAGGATAATAACAATCAGTAATATGATGTTTAGCGCTTCTGAAGAACATGTTTAGACTGGGGATAGAATAATACATTGAATATGGAGAGGAATAAGGTACACAATGACCACTCCTTCATGGCCGAACCATGCCACTTGGATACTGCATTCTCACGCTCACCATTTTGAAACTTCAAGTGTTACATGTTGAGTGTAAGTCTTCTCAGTAATTATATGTTCTACCTCAAAGATGGTGTGGTGAAGAACCAATGCCACTGTAAACTTTCCACAATTAAAATACTATTGACTTACAAAAGGAAGTGAACCGACAGGGAATGAAAGTGACAAAGTTTGTTGACGGAGATGCATCTGGTATAGATAAATCCTGTCTTCTACAGCTTATAATTGTACTTTGACTTTGGCTACTGAGATCTATTAAGTTAAACATAACATTGTGGTGTAATAATGAACACTTTATTATAAAAGTAACGTTGTGGGTAAACTACTGTGTAGCTTTCTTTCAACCTTCAGTGGGATCATCACATAGCTTTTAGTTAGTTTTTATATTGTGTTGATCAAGTTGTTCAGTTCTGCTCTAAACATATTCTGGTGTCATTGGATAGTGATTAAGAGATTAGTCTGGACAAAGAATGTTACAAAATAATAATACACAGTGAATTGAGAATAATGTTTTTGAATCTTTCAGTTAACTGAATATTTTGTAACATTATCTGTAAACTATTCATTTAGAGACAATCGTACAGTAGTGACTTACAATCGGCTTGGTACACTAAAAGTATATCATGAATGCAAATGTTAATGTTAAATGTATGTTGGAAATGAAATTTTAATCGTTTAGCGGTGGACATGAACACACATGAACAACACAACTCATATCTAAATATACATGTAGGTAAGTTAATATTCACCGGATACCAAGTAATACATATTGTGTGTTAGGCAGGAATGTTTAGTCTCACAATTTCTCTCCAACTTTGCCATCGATGACTTTCTGGAAACAGCTCTGATGGATATAGGTAATGGTAGTGTGGATCTGTTACCTGGAGAAAGACTGTTCGACTTTGAGTATGTGGATGATATTGGCTTACTGTGCGATGATACTCAAACCATGAAATTCTCAATTGATCAGTTGGAAAACAGTGTTCGTAGGTATGGCATTTACCTTGCACCTTCTAAAACAATGTACATTCACAAGACCGTCAGGACTCTCAACCTGCACTCACTCTTAATAGTGTGCAGATATAATTAGTCGAGAAGTTCGTGTATCTAGGTATCCGTGTAAGTGCTGATGGTTGCATGAATGATGAGACCAGTCTACGTATAATGAAAATAAGATGAGTTACTGCTAACCTGAACTATCTTTAGCACTTGTGTGATGTTAGCCTGAATGTAAATGTTTATAATGTGTCAATGAAAGCAGTTTTTCATTATGTTTGTGGAGCCTGCCCTCTCTGACTCGGGGATGATAGCTTATTTTGTGTTTGATCATCGCTGTCTCTCAAGGACTACTAAGATTTAGTGGCAACACCATGCTAGTAATGTAGAGGTTCGGTGAGGTGTGTTCGGACCCAGTTACGATAATTCAGTCGGTGTCACCATCTTGAAGCACCGACTTCGTTAGTTTGGACATGAACTACGAATGGTATCATCACAAATTCTACATCGTTCAATGTTTGTCGACTCTGGGACTAGGTGGAAAAATCAAAGTGAATCTGTGTATAAAATCATATCATGACATGACAAAAGCTGTAAAGGATATTGATTAGTTGGTACTTAACAATTCCCTCGTTCGGGTTGTAGAGATAGTGTTACTCAGTAGCTTGTGACTTTATCAGACATACTTAGTACTCTATGGTGTTTGAATGAACTAATGATTCGTTTTTATTTGTTGAATGCTTGATTTCAAATTTCAAATACAGTTCATTCTTTCGTGTTTATGTAATACTTCTTGATCCAATTGCGTTATTTCTAGGATTCCTTGTTTGTACTATAATTCAAATACTCCTTATTATCACTTACTCCTCTAATGAATCCTTATTGATGAGAACTTTTACTATGTTATTATGTGATGATATAAATTATGTACACTTGTTTTTTAATGCTTGATACTATTATGTTTAGGTTGAAAGCAGCTGATAAGAAACCAGGGAGGGAAATGTATTCACGTTATTCCGCTACGTTCACTGTTCTTTCATTACTCATGTTTGTGAAATAATTCGATGATCATCTAAATTCAAGGAAATTATCTACTCTACACAGAAAATTAATATTTATATGTTATCATTAGAAATTGACGGATACTTCGTATTCGTTGAGCAGACACTGTTAGCAACAACCTACTGTGAGAGAGAACAAACCAGATTCCAGAGGAGGAAGAAATCAGTAAAAAAAGCTGGAAGTGAATAGGATATACATTGAGGAACGTAGGTCACTGCGTCACAGGTCAAGTTCTCACATTTATTCCTCAGAGTCAAAGGAGAAAAGGAAAACCGAAAGACAAATTACGTTGAGAAATGGAAATAGACATGAGAAGAATGAACAAGAATTGGATATAATCAGAAAGGAAGGCTCAGGACAGGGTGGGTTGGAGAATACTTGTCGTTGGACTATGCTCCATTGGGATCGACAGGCGTAAGTTAGTGATTGTAAATTGACAGTTTTACCAGGTTTCATTTGGATTAATTAGTTTCTGTATTTCTGAACTCAGTGTAGCGTCGTCAGTATAACGTCAAAAAGGATCTGAGAAGTACTTACGTAGGTGATTTCATCAGGACCCTAAAAATTTAATATTACAAAATGTCGACAATGACATGTAACTTAAAATGTTTTTTTAATAATCAAAATTTGATCATCCCTTTTATTATTTTCATTATGAATACCTAAGCTTAGATCCAAATATCTTATATGGATGATAATGTCAAAGAAACATGTCTTATTATATTATTCACAAGTGAAAGCCATTTACATGTGAAAAATAAATCAATAATGGAAAGTGACATTATCTTTGATTGAGACTTCTTTATTGATTATAATTTGCAGTTTTACATAATGGGGGTAAGAAATGTATGGGACCATGTAATTTTATTACATAATGCATAAATATATTTTTGTGATTGTTATTATCGATGGCTTTATTCACTATTGCATTTCTAGCACAATATAGAATTCTCAGCACAAAGTATTTTAACAAGTTTGCTTCTTTTATTTGTTGATCGATCCATGAGATAAATATGCAGTAGTCACCAGTTAGATGTTAACCGTTTAGGAATGGACACATGAACTATGTACATTCTGTTCACTGTATATTGCCAGCAAACACGACGTCTCTGATTAGGCATTTTTAAGTTGTACAGTGAAAAATCATGAACTTTTTCATAAACACCCCTGAATAGTTCATGCGGCTAATAGTCACAGTGATATGTTAAAACAAACAAGAAACTTGTTGAACTATCTGGATAGCAGGAATAGATGGCCAGTATATTTAAGTAGGCCCCTAACATAAATAAATTTATTAACAAGACATAATTTGATCATAAAAATCTCTTCAAATGAATATTAAGTTGTCTGGTGGTACGCTATCTCCACAGGAAATATTTTATTTCTAATTGTTCATATAGAAACAACAATTTAATCACTTACAATATCAGTGGGATATGTACACTAAGTTATAGTTTATAATAAAGATATTTGATTTAATCAAATATTGAAAATGAAAGTTTATTAAGTTGTGAAGTACTCAAAATGGAAGTCATTTGAATGTGTGATCATAATGAAACACGAATATAACCCTACATCCTTCTATTTTATGAAGTTAAAAATAAAGATAACGAAATCGATTAATATACGTAAAACAAGTGTTTTCTTCAATAACGTGTTCTTAAAAATCCTCAAATTAGACGGAGAACAGTAGTGCATGCGATCTTCTTTATTTACTACATACTTACTCCTGTTACTCCTAGTGGAGGAGCATAGGCCGCTCACCAGTATTCGACATGCAACACTGTCCTGGACAATCCTTTTCAGCTCCGTCAAGTTGTTATTCATCCTTTTCATATCGGATTCTATTTCTCGACGTAATGTGCTCTTTGGCATTTCTCTTTTCCACTTCCCTTCAGCACTCCAAGTTAGGGCTTGTCTCGTGATGCAGTTTGGTGGTTTGCATAATGCATGCCTTATCCAATTCCAACACCTTTTTCTCATTTACTCCTCAGCTGGAAGCTGGTTTGTTCTCTCCCACAGAAGGCTATTGCTGATGGTATCTGGCCAATGGGTGTTGAGTATCTTGCGAAGACAGCTATTTAAAAATACTTGTACTTTCTTGATGGTGGTTGTTGTAGTTCTCCAAGTTTCAGCTCCGTACAGTAGAACTGACAGTCTTGACGTTCGTATTGAATATTCTGACTTTGATATTAGTTGAAAGTTGTTTTGAGTTCTATATGTTCTTCAATTGTAAGAATGCGGCCTATGCTTTACCAATCCTCGACTTTACGTCTGCATCTGAACCTCCTTGTTCATCGATGATGCTTCCCAGGTATGTGAAGGATTTCACATCTTCCAGAGTTTCGCCATCAAGAGTGATTGGATTGCTGTTCTCCGTGTTGCATTTGAGGACCTTGGTTTTGCCCTTGTTTATGTTGAGGCCTACTGATTTAGAGGTTGCTGCTACACAGGCTGTCTTCATCTGCATCTGTTCGTGTGTACGTGATAGGAAGGCTAGGTCATCTGCGAAGTCCAAATCGTCTCATCGGTTCTGAGTTGTCGATTGTATTCCGTGTTTTCCCTCAGAAGTCAAGGTCTTCATAATCCAGTCGACTACCACTAGAAAGAGGAAGATAGAGAGAGTAAACGGCCTTGTCTGACTCCGGTCCTTACATGGAATGCATGCAATCTTCAGCAACCATGCATTCGACTTGGAAAATATCAAAATAATACGGGGAAAAAACTTATTCAACTATGAAGAAAGATGAGTAGCTGAAGTTTTCCATGTATTGCTGAATAGGAAAGATGGTATTACTTTCCATCTGACCTGAACTATCCGAGTTACCATGTCTGATTTTATTTACAAATCACAATGTTATCATATACACAAGTTCAACTCTGTCTTTTAACATTACGAGTGTCATATTTTCCACACCCATTAACACACACAAATATACAAGGATGTTTCCTCATCTTCACCGGAGTAAAATGACAGTGGCTTCGTCAGACTTCCTACTTAGTTGCTCTATTCCTTTATACCACTTAGACATAGTTAGTTTATTTATTCTTTAAAGAAGCTGCTTACACAGTCACGAAAAGACAGGAAATTTAACATTTCATCTCACTGTTAGTTGATTTATAATAAACGGTCGTTAAATGATATGTAGTGAAAAAGTGGAGTAACACTAGGGCATTGCGTCATTCAGGTAAGTTGATGATTTTAAGCTTTTTACTGAATTGCACCGTCTCCCACCGACAAGTCATAATAAAAGTCTGTCCTATCCATTTGTGTACAATGTAAATTTAAACACACTGAAATCATATATATTTTTATCAATATGCTACATGATTATTCCAAATTTTGGGATATGAATATTAACGTATTTCACCTGCCGTAATCTCGTTATAAATATTTTGGTATCAACTTACCAAGTAATCTGTTTCATTGTTCTAGGAGATTATTTCATCGTTAATACATTTTTTCTGAATGAATTATGTAAATGAAATCCTATTGTGGTGAATGTTAAATTTTATTAAGATCATGAACCGATCTTATTGTTATACAACATGGTTTGACAAGTAGTCATCAGATCGATGTATTGCAGTAAGTGGAAGAACATTGGGTAACAATAGTATTTGGATCTGTAATGTTACCTAATAAAATTTGATCTCATGAAACTCACAAGGTAGAGTCAGTGTTAACATCACATCCATCAATGAACACGATACATCTAGAACACTGATGATCCTCTACCTAATTACGTTTACAATTGCAAATTCGTAGAGAACTTTCGTGCTTTAAGGTAACCCTCGTGATAATAATAGAAGAAACCAGACACGTAGTGAATAGGTCTTCATTTCGATCTTTGCGCAGTCACAGTAGAGCGTGGGTTATTCGCTCTGACAAACAAAGACTCTCAACATTCAATATAAGATACTAGGAAATATAACGCCTATACAAAATAGGGAAGTGAACGAATACTTGAACAATACTGTTTTGGCATATGTTTGGTTGTTTGGGATCAACTCTTAACCAACCAACCTAAGGTGTTACAGGACCATGTAGTTTTATGTTCCCTGATTTAGATTCACAGTTTTTTTATGAGGAAAACCATAGCGAATGGAGTTGCAGATTGTAGCATCATAAATCAAGTGTTAGATACATCAGAACATTGATGAAGCAGATTTTCATTCCACATAGCTTATAATATTTATGGATTGTTATGTTCATTTCTTTGAATAAGTATATTTGATAAATATCTTATGTTCGAATCTTGCGAGGCAGCATCATGGATGCTCACTGCCGATGAGTTTCATAATGGGTCGAAGCAGCCGTCCAATGCTTTTAAGTTTTTCATGGAGCTCTAGCTTCAATTAACTCATGATCTCAACCATCAAAATATCTTATGTCTTTTAAACAAAAATATCACAGTCTCTTTGCAATTTACCTCAGTGGAATAAATTTGCAATAACTTACCATATGAGTAGAATTACACTAAATTGTAATATCCACACAAATAATTTCATTAGTCACATATTCCAAATGAAATTTTATTGTCTGGCAAACGACTTAAGACAAAACTTGTTTGATTATTAACGTGTGGTAAGACTTTAGAATTGTGCCTCCTTTTCCTGCAATAACGGTAATGAATTTGTTTTGTACATGTTAATCAAGCATTTTTGCCATCAGTCTTAGAAAAGATTCGGTTTTTATAGAATGATTTTCTTCAAACCAACATAAACTGTTGGAATACAAAAATAAAAAATGACAAGTACTAGCAGCTGAACTATTTGAACATGTTGATGAATACAATCATTTGCTTAAATTTCACAAGGGAATGTCATCGTTCATTTTGTGAGCTCATTAACTCTAAAACACTGTTACAATACGTATTTTTATCCCATGCTGGGTAATCAATTTCAATTTTGGGAAATGAGTATAATCAACAACATTGTAATTCAGTTAGCTTACCATTAACTGGATGCGCACTGCTGAAGAGTCCCATAATAGGACGAAACGATCATTCAGTGCTTCCAGGTTTTCAATGGTTGTTTAACATCAATCGGTTCAAGATCTCAATCAAAAACTTAGTAATCTCATATAATGTAAATCATTGTATCGAACTGTATCCGGTTGTGAAAATGTCATCAGAACTTACTGTTTTAAAATCTTCGGTTGGCTATAAAATACGTATGCGCCATTACATCCTTCTTATTTAGATATTTAAAACGAAATTTCAGCTCATATGTAGTGAAAATACAAGTTAAACTACTACTGTGATGTGTGCTACTTATATTGACATAAGAAGTGTATAACGCTAGTCACATAATGAATGTCTGGCAGCGGAAGATTGAGAAGATCAAGAATGGAAGAACAGTAACAGAAAGCAATTAGTATAGAAATGTAGGAACAAAGAAGTCTGAGACAGTTATTATACACTTTGTAAATGAATTATTGGAGTTTTTGTTTCTATTTTATCATGTAGCCCTATAATTTTGTGCTTAAAATGATCAATTGTCCTCACCTGTGTTCTCCTTCATTACATTATTACTACACATATATGCAAATGCATACATTAGTTCATATTAGAACCCATATCTAGAAACCATAAATGAGTGTAAATTAGGATAACAGTAATCGGTTGAAGTTAGGTGTGGGATGCCAGCTCACTGGTGTACTGGTTAATCATTCGCATGGAAGATCGATAGGTCCTGGGTCCGATCGTAGATACCTACTGCTGGAGTATGATTTTTCTATTTTATCAGGTAATTGTATAATTTTGTTCTTAAAATGATCGATTGTCCTCACCTGTGTTCTCCTTCACTACACTACGATCCTTTTCCTCTATTTAATGTAGATTTCATGACTATTTTCGTTTCCTTTTTGAATAGTAGTAAGGTAGGAGTGTGATAGAATTAATTCCCATGAACAATACAAAGAAATTTTTGTTCGAGGTTTCTTGATTTCTTAGATGGATATTTCAAAAAACAATTAAAGTCGATTATTTCTCATCATTCACTTACACATGAACATAATTCCTTCGTTTCATTAAACACAAACCATGTTACATTTGACTGAAAGGAATTATTGAATAGAAATAGAAAACTGAGAATCCATTTACTCAATTGAATTAAGGAAATTATTAACCAATAGAAGAACATACATGTGTCCATGAATTGAGAATAAACGAATCTATGTCTACCTAAGAAACAAAAAAGTACCGAAATGAAACATGAATTTTGGAATAGACACTTGATCAATTGCTTCTTGAGATATCAACAAAATGTATATTATATACTGCTAGCGATTCCACTATACTTAAATAATTATGTAATGAATAGGAAAAGCTGTGACAATCATCAGAGTTATGTGATACTTGGATACAATCTGCACTAAGAAGGACCTGACATTGGTCATCATCCAGTGGTCAATCAATTGTAATTATATCTCAATCCTACAGGAGGTCAATTACGGCCCGGACAGCTCAGTAGTTACGTCTCTAACTGTGAAGCTGGGTGATACGGGATCGAATCCATTAGGAAACATCAATTGTCTCAAGATTACAGGTACAACTTGTTGATGAGTGCAAACAGCATGTAATCTAGGTCCACGGTTCCCTATTGATCACCTATAACCATCATCTTAATGTATTGTATTGTTTAAAATAATTCAAATTGAAATATTGGAACATTGATTCTTTCATTGAAATATAACTTACAAACCATCTCCCACTTCCTATAGATAACGGTGAAGCAATTTTATCAAATTGATTATTTTAACATGTGCAGTATTGACAGAGTGATGTATTATGTAGAAGAAAAGAAATTTAAGTTTAGGGTTCTTCATGAAACATAACAATATGTCGTTTCGAATCAGCGATACAGCAGAACGAGATAAAGGATCAAGACACCGAAGTACTTTATGATTACATTTTCTTTTTAGGGACAATTGTGACACATGAAGAAAGTCGAAAATCTATCAGTAGCAAATCAACAACATAGGCTTTTATTATCGATAACGTCTATGTGCACCATGATAGAGAATATAGAAATCCACGTTACATGCCTTGTTTTATCTATGCTTGACTGTTTTAGAAGGCTAAATATATTTCAGCTGTTTCAGAAACGATACAAATCAGTGTTGGTATTTCAGAAAAGACATCTTAAAGAAATTGAACACTCGGAAATAATTAGATCCAGTCAATAAGGGCGATTAATGAAATGAGGATCAAGCATATACGATGGAAAAATATCAATACCATTTAAGAAATGTATTTGCTGACAGTTTACAGATGATCAAAATAATGACTAATTTATTGAAGACATGAACCAATTGATGTTAGAATACCGTTGGAAACCTGAAAGCACTGGACGGCCGTTTCGTCCTATTGTGGGACTCCTCAGCAGTGCGCATCAACGATCCCGCTCGCGGGATTTGAACCCGGGGCCTTCAGTCTCACGCGCGAACGCTTAACCTACTAGACCACTGATCTGGCATCCAATGGTGTTAGTTTCTAACATCAACCAATGCACGAAATTGCGCGACCAACTTCCATTGTACTGAGGTACATACCTGTCTCTACCGGACATGGATTAGCTCCACTTTTGTTTTGATATATCGTAAATTTGATTTTAATGATTGAATTCATGAGTCTTTCTAAGCTAGACCATCACGAAATGGTTCATGCTGAAGAGTCATATACTACAACCAAAATGGTCGTCTAATGCTTTCAAGTTTAACGTTATTTATATTATTCATAAACAGTTATACTTACCATCACTTCTGAAGACTATAAGAAATAGAGACCAAAAAATAAGGGTAATACATGGTAATATAAATATTTGATATGGAGTCAATAGTAAATCACTCTTAACCATTGGATATTGTATGAATTCACAATGGAACGGATTACAATGTTTATATATAGATAAGCTTGACTAATTGAGATTAAACTTATAAAGGAGTCTACACATATGACAATAGGCGATAATGTAGTATTAGCAAACATCCATCAATTGTATTCATCATTCATCTAACGCCATACACTAGTTGTCGTTGAACCACACCTTATATCCATCCATATATGATGAGATGACAATTGAATTCCTATGATGTGATAATAGGCAAAATAATTAGTGAAAGTCAAATGTATGATTGTTGTCATGATTGTCAAATAGGTGATTAATAAGTTAAACATGTTATCGATTAGTTTTCTTGAATGTAAACATCATTTTGATGTATCCTCCCCATATGAAAAACGAAAGTCGTCCTACTTACCTATATAGGTTATAGGTATAATAAACTCAGCAAGTCTTTACTTGCTTGATTTACAGTAGTTATTGTCAAGTAAATCATGGATGACTAAATTTACTAGACTCTGTCCATAAGCATTTCTGAAGTAAAAATTTGTTTTCGGTGGAGTTGATAACGAATCAGTTTATTGTAAAGTACTATCTACATCAAAGTAGATAGAAATAGAATATATTCGTTAGTAACGGTTGATGTTGAAAGCTTCATGTGTTTAGTTTCATAGTGTTATAACTTGTGACCGCCAATTATAGAGCAATGATTTATCGATTGGATCAATGATGCGCGAACCCGTATGAGCAGCCCTGCTTTCCGCCTAGCCCAGCCAGTTCAGTCCAGAACGCAAGTCTCAGCCTCTGCAATATGAATCATTCATTTCAAATATACTGACTTTGTACACCAATCAAACAGACCACAACGTATCAATAAAATATGAAAGAACATTTGTACAAGAATTAGCCAGATGTGGCTGTGAATGTAGGAGATAGCAATTGATAGACAGGACATAATTCAAGAATGGTAAAACGTATAAGAATGGTTCATAGATCCATAAACGTATCTCAAAGTTACCATTCATTATGTTTCTCGGGACCTAAAACATTGTCTGTGTCAGTCGTCAATAGTTTGGCTACTCGAAAAGAAATTATAGTAGTCATTTGTAAGTGACATTCGTGTTAACATACACTATAATTTGCTTACGTTTTCTTGGTTTTAGAATTGCATTATTCTTCACAATTAACATAGTCGAACTTCGACTTAAGGTCAAAGAATGTAACAATCATAGGATGTCGATAACCATGTGTTCCAATATCTGATGAAAGATGAATATATGACCTATATACCTACATCCACGTTTGAAACTAGACCAGATTTTTTCGGGTTCCATCTTTACAAGCTTATGTTAAGCATCTGACTGTTATTGGGGTTCATATTTTAGATACTATATTAGCCAAACACATTCTTCTCTGATCGTCAAAGTTAAAACTTCTTCCTTGCTTATAAACTGAGATGATCTGTGATTAGGGTCAGTCTGATGGTGTGTCATCTACATCACAGATTCTTGCTAGGATCTCACTTCATCTAACTGCTGAAACTGAACCACTATTGGTTAACATTTCCCATGTTGTACAAAAGAAACCTCCTGCGCTCTCTCAAGTTGAAATGAGCTCCTACATTTATCGTCTGTGTATCACCCATCGTTGTTTAAATTTATACCGTTTTCATTTATAGTTATAATAGCTTCAATTTAATTATGCCAAACCCTTTTCTATGAACTGATTTCTCCATGAACTGAAATAACCAGAAATCATCATTTAATATTAACAATAAAAGTAGTTGCAAGGATTGACGTATTTAAAGCCTGAAAACTGATTGATACTAAACGAAAATAAACTTTGAGATTAGATGATGGTTGGGGGTAATCGACAAGAAACCCTGGACACAAGTTTCGTTCTAATTGGCACTCGTCAGCAAGGTGTATCTGTATTCTTGAGACGATTGATGTTCCCTGATGGATTACATCCCGTATCAACCAGGTTCACAGTCAGAGACGTTACTACTGAGCTATCCGAGCCACAATCAACATCCTGGGTGGTGATCAATGTCATACGTGTCTTGTCCTTATTAGTGCAGAACTTTGTAAACATTAAAACCAGATGGTAAACAGTTCCAACCTTTATTCATAACTATATCAAGACATTATGAGCAATTACAATCTGAAAAACTTCTTTCTCAATATTCTTCTTGATCATCAGGATTACTTGAACACGACGCTGTTATTCCTGGAGAATGGCACTAAGTTTACCAAAAATACACAATCCTGCATTACATTTACGACCTGTTTTGAATACCTAATTCATCCTACTACCAAATCCTCTCAATGCTTATTCGTAAGATTATAACCAGTGAGAAGACAAGTTTCTAAACATGTTTAGTTCATGATACTTTTCATTTTACTGACAGTATTTAAAAAGTGCTTACCTGATGTTAGTCCTCTGTTCACCAGTGTAACATTAACTGAAACTATACGTTACATTTAATAATCATTTGTATGCTGAAAATATGAATAATTAAGATGCCAGTTTACAGGCATAATCAGCTTGATATAGATAAGCGTTTTTTAGCGAGTTATTTTTCTCCGGGATGGAGTCGCTAACCCCATGCCCAACCTTCCTCCTTTGTCCAGGCTTGGAACCGGCAGTAGCGACAGAAGAGCTCCAGGTGGAGTTTGCTTGATATAGATAGTAAAATTAATTGTGGATGAAATATGGGTTGTTCGATTGTTTGAAGTGTACTAGTTCAAAAATTATTCAGATCATTCATTCGTCACATAATTCACTGGAATGTAAGGCTTCAGATGGGTGATTTCGATTTTTTTTAAATGGATATCTTGTTAGTAATACGAACGGTGTATTTAAGTTCATTTTTTGCATCAAAACAAATTGATTATTATTATCTACAACTAGATAAAATAAATCACATTCAGAAAGCATAATACAACAAATACAACGATTTCTACGATAGATCAACCAGGCCTACCATAACACATGTGTCAGGTTATTTTGTGATCTATTGTTCATGTTAGATAATAACCAAATTAGTTGAAGTTATTAAGAATGGTGTTAGTATAGGCTCCGTTTGTTATCTTTACATAGTGTACATTCAAGAATGGACTTCAGAAATTATGAATCCTCTTGATTGAGATCATGAATCAATTAATGTTAGACCACCATTGAAAACCTGTAAGCACTAAACAGCCGTTTCGCCGCAGTATGGGACTCCTCAGCAGTGCACATCCACCATCCCACTCCTCGAGAGATTCAAACCCAGGACCTATCAGTCTCGCGCCAGGCCCTTAACCAACTAGACCACTGAGCCGGCATCCAATGGTGTTAGTGTCTAACATCAACCGATTCACGAAATTGTGCGACCAACTTCCATTGTACTGAGGCAGATACCTGTCTCTACCCGACACAGATTAGCTCCACTGGTCACGGCTTCTCACTAGAACTCCGAGAATTCCCTCACGACGCTAGTCACTAGTGAGCATATGTTAATTGTCAGTGTAGGGGTTGTGGAGATAGTGGATATGCACTGGTGAGGAGTCCCATACTACGACGAAACGGACGTCCAGTGCTTCCAGGTTTTCAGCCGTTGTCTAGCTTCAATCGACGCATGATTTCAATCAGTTGAATTTCTGAAACCCCCACAAAGCCCATTCTGATTGAAATATTGCATATCAGGTCAACTTACAATCATCATAATGGATAAAATATACATTGAAATTCGGTAATAAAACACTTTAACATATGGATATTAACTGATCACACTACTCCTGCTCGTACAATCACCTTTAAACAATAATCGATTATCAGTGTACGGGTTTGTAGAGATTGTAGAATTTCGATAGGCTGTATGTCACAAACTGATCTTAGGAAAGACCTGTTCATGACTTTAATTTTATAAATACTTGGAATTCACTAATCTTGAACTGTAAACACATAAAAAGACTGTAAACTTTCATAACTTATCAACTAAAACCGTATAACAGGTCTATGAATGGACTTAATAGCAAGTACAGCAATCAATTATAAAATGACCATAATTTCATGAATAAAGGCTGCGATACATTTTATTACCTATACACACTACTGACGGGCAATCAGTAACATGAAATTTCGAAATAATGTTTTATACAAAGGAATAGTGTTGTTGTATTTGCTCAGCAGTGCGCATGCACGACTTCACACCCGCGAGATTCGAACCCAGGACCTAATGGTTTCGCGTGCGAGCACTTAACCACTAGTCGAAGAAAATGGTTTAACAAATAAATGCAAATGATTTTTACCAAGGTTCATCTTCTTCCATCGTTCAAGTCATATCAAAACAAGACTTCATCTTGAACAAGGTCACTCAATCAACTAACACGCTAGGTGTTTTCATGTAGCTAAATGTAACACGGGGAACACAAGTGTTTTCTGCCCTTAATGACTTGATTTGTCATTTTCTTACGTTAATATTCAAACAGGTAAGATTCCTGAACTTTCTACACACATTTAGTCACTAGTGAGTACGTGATCATCATCACTGTAGTTCATCATTGAAGTTCAGCATATTAGGGAGAAACATGTGTATTTCATTTTCCAGTCTTCACTAGTCGACTAAATTGAATTGGTCAGTCAGTCATATTCCGTCTTATTATTGTTAATAAGCTATAGTCTCGTATTTGATACATATAGTCTCAATAGATTTTCATGTTTCCGTGTCATATAAAGATACTAGATACTCGGTGTGTCCTCCTGATTGTATAACTGAGCAGTCAAGTACTGATGGCATCGTTCGTATGGGTCATCGATATTAAAAGTAATCCATAACCGTGTAAGAGGGCTATCAGTTAATTACTCACGCCTTAGAAGCATAGGTTGCCCACCAGTGTTCTCCAACCAACCCTGTCCTGCGCAATGCGTTTCTGTTGTTTCTAGTTCTATTCATTCTTTTGATGTCTGTTTTCGATTTCCGAAGCAGTGTATTCCTTCATCTTTCTATTTTCCTTCTGCCTTCCGGATATCAG